TACTTTGAAGTTTACAGCGAGCGTAAACCACCTGAGCTACCGCGACATGACTTAAAATTAATATGCCTTTTCATTCGATATAAGTTTCATTTATATCAGTAGTTTCAGGTATATCTACAAGTTATACATTTAAATAGCGTTATGATCAAATACTCAAAAGCTGCTCAATTTGAAGACGCAGTAAGATTTCATGCTGTCTTTATCACTTTAAGTCAAAGTGACTGTGACACTACGAGACTTAAAGACATCTCGTGCTGTCTCTGTCATTTTAAGTCAAAGTGACTGTGACATTACGAAACCTAACATCTCATGGTGTCTCTATCACTTTAAGTCAAATTGATCGTGATACCACGAGACTGAAAGACATCTCATGCTGTCTCTGTCATTTTAAGTCAAAGTGACTGTGACATTACGAGACCTAACATCATCCTAAAATTGAGTAGCGTTTGGAGAGTGGCCTCGGCCATTAGTGCCACATTCATTTTTTTTTCTGTCGAGCCATATATTTTTTTACGTCAGACAATAAATGGAGTATGTTCGGGCTGAATCTGAATAACAGAGTGAGAAATTGTGTGATAAGAGAAGAGTGTGGTTTGTAAGATGATGTTCTGACCAGGGTTAAGAAAAGAATGCTTCGGTGGTTTGGTCATGTAGAAAGAATGAACGAGGAAAGATTGACAAAGCAAATTTATATTGCAGATGTGAACGGAAGAATCGAGAAGGGATGCCCTAGATGAAAGTTTATCGACCAAATTGGCGATATATTGAAAATGGGCCAGATTACGAGCAGTAATAGCGTTATATGGATGGAAAGGAGGCGAGAGAGGTGTGTCAGGATCGTGCCATAAACCAGCAACATACCCAGCGGGACTATTTTATATATATATTAAATGTACGTTAGTGTTAACAACACAAAACAAATTGGAAATAGCTTGGTAGTGATCACCCTTTCCAGGGGTTATTTTCGTCGATAAATTCCTTAGTGTTATAATAACCCTTTTTATACAAACTTCGTTTAATAAAGTTTTTGAACTTTATGCAAGTCAAATTTTTTATATTTTCTGGGATTTTGATGTAAAATCGTATACATCGCTCCAAGAATGAATTACTGACTCGGGGTGGAGTCGAGTAACTGGTACTACTAGCTTGTGTTTATACCTAGTATTTACAGAATGAATATCACTTATTGATGCAACATAAATGTACGTTTACGGGCTGATGCAGACGTGAATGCCAAACAGAGCGTCGCTTGCTTCAATCTTACCGTTACAGCCTTTCGAAAGTCCACTGCTTAACATAGGACTCCCCCATAGTTTACCTCATGGGGGACCATAGTTGTCTTGCTGGGCTAGTGGGTTGACAAACGCAGTTTTTTTGTCGTTATAAGGACGACGCTACTGCGTGCACATGCACGTGCTACATCCTGCGAGGCGACAGGGGGAATCAAGGAGATCTTGTTTCCCCGTGTCGTTTCTTACGACACCCAGGGTCGATATGGGGTAGAGGGTATTCTTACACCGTCACTTTTTTTTCTATGAAAGTAATGGCAGCAATGAATGGACATTTTCTTTCTTTCTAAAAAAGGAACTTAGATAACTGCTTTGTACTTGTTTGTTTCACCAACTAGTATAAAATTAATTCGCTTATCTGCGTCTGTATATTTGTTCGTTTATACATTAAACTAGCTGATGGATTTAGATGCGGTTTTCGCCAACAGTTAATGAATTTTTTTGGAGTTTTTCGTTTGTACGCCGTGTTAATACGGGCACATTTTTATTTAAGGGTAGTAGAGAAATGTTGGCAATTTTTGATCAATCCTAAAAAGATAACGTAAGGTAGTACTCACGCAAAACCGAAGTGAGTCATTGGTGTGTGATGAAATCGAAGGTCTGGAAATTAATTAATGTAATATATCAATAGCCCTGTACGTATTTTGGGCTTGATTAAATTCATAATCGCTGAGGCTGTATAAGACTTTTCGTTAAATTCTTTGAAAAATAAAAAGTCACAACACGTGTATGCAATAAGGAGTTATTAGGAGGTAGCACTCCTTTTCTTTCTAGAATTCTGTCTATGTAGGCACCGCTGTACCACCACCCTGCCACCACCTACCACCACATACCACCACCCTACCGCCATCCTACCACCACCCTACCGCCACCCTACCATCACCCAAGCACGCCAAGCGGCAGTGTGCGCACTGTTGTGTTCCAATCATAAAGAAGCCAGCGCAGTTATAGTTAGTAAGGCATTTCATCTTACATCATCATCTTCCACAGAGGTTAAAGCGCATATGTAGCAGGGACAGATTAAATAATGTTACTGCGTAATATGTAGCCTCCTTTAGTAAAGTTGAATGAAAATGTCCGTGGACTGCAGGAACCACTGACCATTAGGTAGATTGTTACGTATACGTTAATGCGTGGTAGAGGCACGCTGCTATAGTATGGTTGTAGCACGAATTGGTCGGTTCGACGGGGGAAGGATCACGCTCTCACAGAATATCAGCGTAAAATAGCAGCTTAATGCTGTGTTTCGTACGGTGAGTGTATAGATCCGGAGACCCCTTTTTACTGGAAATGAGACACTCCATCTTAGTTGTCAGGGTTGACAACGCATCTGCATTTTGATTCTTAATCGAAGATAATTGTAAATGTCTGTGGGGCCACAACATCCACTTACCATCATGTGGACTGTGTGCTCGTATATCAATTGTATTCTATTTAAAAAGAAACCTAGTTGGTATGTCACTTGAATTTAATAAAAAATCGATAGTAATCGCCTTATTTCTCCTATGGAGCTTACTGTACTTCATATTATGTTCTTAGAACATTTTACCTCTTTCGCCGAGAACATGGTAAAGTGACGCTTCACATTGCAATTAACAGTTACTGGCAGGGGTTCTCATAGCCGGGGTGGCTCGCGTGCTTTTAAATTTAGAATTTAGGGCGTGTTACCGACCCCTCCCTCAATATTTCTGTTTAATTTAAGTTTTTTTCTATAAAGTATGGATGACAAACGTGCACACAGTCTACCTGATGGAAAGTGGAGTCCATAGACATCTACAACTACGACTAAAATTCAGATGCGTTGCCAGCCCTGAGGACTGAGATGGAATGCCTCATTTCCAGTAAAAAGGGTCAGCATGAAGCTGCTATTTTACGCTGGCATTCTGTGAGAGCGTGGTCCTACCTCGGGCGCGTCAACCCATTCGTACTGCAACCACAATATAGCTGCCATGTAAACGTTATAATATGTAGACTTGGCTAATAACTTTATTACAGCGACACCTATCGGATCCTATAGTTATAAAACATTATCTCGTCAGAACAAATATATGATATATTACGTAAATAGTATAACCTTATCATTTTACATTTACATTACATTAAAGATAATAAAAATTTATTTGTTAAGATCTGAGTAATATAATAAAATGATTTATCTTACCTAATTGGAAGAGCATTTTCCACCCTCCCTCAATTGCGTGCACTATCCCCGTTACCATCAACCCAAATATCACAACTACCAACACCACTACACTGGGAACACACATCACTGTCGGTAATACTAGTAGTACTCGTATTACCGACTATAGTGTATCGTTTAGTACTTTTACAAAGTACTTTCGACGGTATTGTGTCTTTCTTAGTGTAGTGGTTATAGGAATGGTCACGGGAATAGTACACTCAATTAGGGGTGGGCCAAAAGTTCTTTTTTATAGAATGAGAGTGACAAACGAGCACACAGTCCACCTGATGGTAAGTGGTGGCTGTGGCCGATAGACATCTAAATCTATCCTCGATTGCGAATCAAAATGCAGATGCGTTGTCACCCGTGAGGTCTAAAATGGAATGCCTCCTTTCCAGTAAGAAGGGTCTCCGATTCTCTACACTCACCATATGAAACACAGCAGCATTAAGCTGTATTTTACGCTGGTATTCTGTGAGAGCATGGTCCTTCCCCGGTCGAGCTGACCCATTAGTGCTACAACTACACTACAGATATAGCTGCAGTATAGTTCTACCACATATAGGTGCTCTTCAAATGAGATATGACACATCATTTATGTATCAAATGATGTGTCATATCTAATAATCTTTAATGACTTTATCGATTAAGCCATTCAGAAATTACACGATCACTATCAGACGCATCAACGGTTATATTACTTATGCCATTTTTACCGAAAAATTTATGTAATAAGTTAATGTAGTACAATCCTATGGAGTAGATAGTATTTAAATTTTTTTCCCTGTTATTGACCTATCAAATTGATCTATAAATGAAATAAATACTTGTTTGAGGTACTTAAATTTTGTACGTAGCGGCCGGTTCAGCCATGGGCATCAAAATTTCTATCTTCTCTGTTATCTACTTGCCGTGCGTAAAGTAGGTGTAGATGATTTTAATTTCTTTCTCACCGGTTTTATAACTTTATAAAAAAAAAACTAACGATCTACCCGGGCTTTGCACGGGTGATTTCTGGATCTCGACAACAGCGCCATCTACCTGGTCCAATTGAGTTTCTAAACCATCCAGGTACCAAATACACACAAATAATTCATCAAAATCGTTCCACCCGTTTTCTAGTTTTAGCGAGGCTAACGGACAGGAATTGGTTTTTATATAATATATTAAGTAGAATATAAGACAAGTAGAAGATACAAGTTATCTTAAAAGATGTGTATCTATGTCATAGGCTTCTACTTCGTTCACTAATTAAAGAATTTTTTTCTTTTGTCAAAAATTAATTTCTACATACAAAGATAAGGATTCAAATTATAAGTTTGGTGACCAAAGGGCTGGTTATATTCTCGCTCAAATTGATTGTCACCACAGGTGTAGGTGTTTTGTATCAGATTATTTTATAACCTAAACTAAATAATTTTTTTTTTTGCTTTTTTGTGGCTTTGAGCTTTAGTGATATATGCTAGCTCAGTCATTCCTTTTTACGTTATGTACACAATGTATATAGAAATATAAATATTTTATATAATTTACCGCCGAGACGAGAAACTTCGTCGGGTTTCATTTTGCTCGATAGGCTTTGGTAGAGGCTGAGGTTTGTACAAGAGAGGTCTCTCGGAGTAATGTGCTCCGAAACTGTTGCATTTTTCTGCAGGCACTGGTTTATATCCTGTGAAAAATAAAGAATGTAAAAAAAAAATATTTTTTTACGAGTAAAGTTCATAAACCAGCACATTCTATTTATTAGTAAGTGAATTCGCCAGCCCATAGATAAAAAAAACCTCTTAAACCGTAATCATAACTGTACCTTCCACCACAAACCAAAATTTGTTTTAAAGAACAAGGGTGACAAACGAGCACACAGTCCACCTGTTGGTAAGTGGATGCTGTGGCCCACAGACATTTATCCTCGATTAAGAATCAGAACGCAGATGCATTGTCACCCCTGAGGACTAAGATGGAATGCCTCGTTTTCAGTAAAGAGTCTCCGGATCACTCACCATACGAAACACAGCAGTATTAAGCTGCTATTATATGAGAGTGTGGTCCTTCCCGGATCGAGCCGACCCATTCGTACTATAACCATAATATAGCTGCAACATGGCTTTATCACATAAAAATGCATCTACATGTTGGTATGCAGAGCTAAGATAAGTGGTAGCCATTAAAAAAGAAAATTCGATTTTCTCATCAGTACACTTCAGAAGTCCAATATGAAATGCCCAACAGCCCAAGGCAAAACCTAATGCATCTGTAGCCTTTCTTGTTTGAATTTGGTTGCCGGTGTCCGTGAAGTACAGTAACCACTTAGGTAGGACAACTAGTTAGGTGGACTCTAAATCTCGTTCATTTCGATAGAATTAAAACTTTTACTTTTTTGTCATATCTGAAGCTTTTATGGACAAAATATTTTTAAGTAACAATTTACCTGTAATCTGAAATACAAAGATAAAATACAATTACTTTCTCGGTGCTTTATTAAATATACAAAATTAAATGACTATCTATATCTATATGACTATAATAATACCTTAACTGCAAAGTAAATTGGAACTCGGGCTAAATAATACCTAAATCTTAAATACTAATATCAGTAGTCGGATAAGTTAATCGTACGAGACTGCAAAAACAACCAATTTTGATTGATTTTTTTTTAATAGAAATAGGATATAAATATATAGATTACATATTATATTCTATATATAGATATTATACAGATCTTACCTGATGGTAAGAGGATGCTGTATTCCATAGACATTCTACATCTATCCTCAATTAATAATCAATAAACAGATGCATTGTTCTTCGGTTCTCTACACTCATCATACAAAACAGTAACATTGAGCTGCTATTTTAAGCTGGTATTCTGTGAGAGCGTGGTCCTTTCCTGGTCAAACCGATCCATTCGTGCTACAATTACAATATAGCTGCGGCTTTGTCTTAAAAAGCACACTTCCATCCTGGGACTAAGCAACTCAAGAATGTGTCGGTTCTGTTCTACATCGGATAAAATTCCTCTGCACATCCTAACTGATTGCAGATCCTTAATGCGCAAACACAACATTAGAAACTATGTATTCCGCCCAGAAGAAGTGAAATTGCTCATAGCTAAGCAACTCTTTAGTCATATGAACTATCACAATAGATCTTTTATGTCGTAGTGATACTGGTCTCTTTCCCTAGACCTGCATAGCTGGACGAAAAATAGCGGCACCGTGGCTCCCCCACGTATGAAATTTATTTTAATTTGTCTAAAAAATTACTAGTGGTGATACTATCGTGAATTACAGGTAACTAACATTTTGTAATGTTGACTCCATTGTTGGTCTATTGGTAGTTAGCGAGTCTGCTGATCATTATAAGTTAAAATATGTTATTGGGTTTTCGGATAGTGACAGACCTATAGGTACTCACTGTTTACGCGATATCTGAAAGCGCAATTAACTTTCCTAAAGAAACACTCATTTAAAAACAGTCTATATTTCCATTTGTTGTTTTCTAGCTTTCCTCCACAAACAGGATCTTGTGTATTATTACAGTCAAGGTTTGTGCAGTTGATCTTTTTAAATATCTCCCTCGTTGCTGTTGCAATTCTAGTTTGCTCTTTCTTATTCCGCTTATTTTCTCTATTCGTGTTATCTTTTGCATCGTATTCTTGGTTTTTGCCTGTTATGAAAAGAACATCCTTGGATGGAGCCTCTGAAACATGAAATAAATGTCTCATATATAAAAGTTAAATAAAAATTATACCAATACTATCCTTCTAATAGTAATAATACATTCCAATTTAAATTTATGGTTTTATTAATATTTAAAAACAACAAACATAAAATTATCATACAGCCCCACTCCTGCGATACAGTGCCAAGAACACTGGCTGCACTTCCTCGCTGATTTTTTTTTTATAGAATAGGGTGACAAACGAGCACACAGTCCACCTGATGGTAAGTGGTTGCTGCGGCCCATAAACATCTACATCTATCCTCCATTACAAATCAAAATGCAGATATGCGTTGTCACCCGTGAGGACTGAGATGGAATGCCTCGTTTCCAGTAAAAAGGGTCTCCGGTTCTCTACACTCACCATACGAAATACAGCAGCATTAAGCTACTATTTCACGCTGGTATTCTGTGAGAGCGTGGTCCTTCCCCGGTCGAGCCGACCCATTCGTGCTACAACTTTACTACTAATATAACTGCAGCATGGCTCTACCACGTAAAAAAATGAATGGCTATACTTAGGCTTCGAGTGAAAAAGTACCAGCTCTCTTTGTCACCAGCGGTGATGACAAGTCGCAGATACAGTTCCCTTAAGAACTTCAGACAAATTTAACTTCAAAATTTTTTGTATATTATGTTAATAGTTTTTGTGGTAGCGACAGAAAGGAATAATATATCTGTATTTACTCCTTCAGAAATAAAAAAAAAGTTTTTTTTTAATATTCAATATAATCTATATTAATATATGAAGCTTATTAAAAGTCACTCATGTTCGAAAAATACTTTATTAAAAACTTTATTAAAAATATACAAATAATATTGACTAGACCACCTCATTCCCAGGAGCTATTATCATCCACTAAAGGTTGATTCACGGTACACAGAGTCGCGACCGGGCCGGGCTCCACCCGGGACACGTCCACCGTGCGCCGACCGGGACATTCATTCATGCTACACCGGGCTGTTTGCGTGTATTCTTTGCACGGCCGTGTCTGTGATAGGTATTTTGTGTCAACTAGTGATTTTATCAGTTGATAGACGTGATGTTTGAGTTGATATGCAATTTTCACAACTTGATATTGTTTTCCAAATAACATTTTTGTATTTATTATCCAAATACTTAGGATGGATCATTTTGTAAACTACATGATACTTGCGTACATCTCAAAAATTTGTCGTCGATTTTCCTGCAGGTGCCCGGCGTACACGTTCATGTTACATTGTGTCGAGGCCGGGCCGAGCCGGAGTTGGAAAGCAATACCCACCGACATTTGGACGCCGTGCCCCGGCCGGGTCCCGGAGGCACATAATCGGGCAACGGTCAATCATGAATCACTTTGTAACGCTTCCCCCCCCTCTCTATAAAAATATTATTATATTAAATATATTATTATATTCCCCCTTATATTAAAAATTATATACATGTGACCAAGATAAATAAAATATATTTTGATCTTTCTAAATTATCTTTCTAAAGGTTTAATAATAGGCCGTTTGTAATATTTTGGCGTGATCGTCTTAGTTAGGACCCTTATTTACGTTGTGTTTGTATAGTAACTTAGTTCTTTTAGGTGTCTTTTGGAATAATGAATATTCACTAGAGCAATTGAAAGCTGTTGGTAGTGCCTTATAAGCTAAGTGAATCCCGTTCACGAAGACAGGGCTCGAGAAAGGTTAAGAATATAAAACGTCCCTATTGCACTTGTATCAGGTTTACATTACTAATCTATTATTATTTATCCCTTCCCGCTTGAAAAAAGGCTCAAAATATATTTATACAAAATACCCGATACAAGGGCTTCGCTCTCCTACATTTATTTAAAAAAATGTAGGGGGAGGCACACGGCCCCCACACACGCGGTGCACAGTGAGTCACACTCCCCCCGAAGGGAACGCTAATTCTGGAACTGGACCGTAGTCCACAGCAAAATAACTGGCGAACCAGTAAAAGAGGCTTGGCCCCTTGTTAGTGCGTAAGCACAAACATTGACCGAAGTCGCGCATGTCAATGCGTGTAAACGCCATATAGAATACGAACGAATCCAGCCACAGTGAATTTACGTCATACGGCTTAGGCAAATAGGCACACTAGCCGTAAACCCTCCGTGAGCGCCACCACCTGCCTGACCACCGCTCCTGCAGACGTGATGTAAGTGTATGGCATCACTACCAATTGCATGATCAGCACGGCTACTAGCTGCAGAGCGTGTCTTGAGTCTACCGCTCACCTTAAGGGAATGGAGTCCCACGTTGTGCGGCTTTTGGCCGCAGCCTTGAGAGTCTCCTCAGATCCTCTTACCAGCTACCACCCGCATGAGGTCGACATATATGCTCCACCAACCAATACAACGGCAGATATAGCCAAAAGGCAGTTATAAGATAAGAGTAATATTTCGCCACCAGAAAGTGTTTGTGTCACTGACGTTGAGTAAATGCATTTTCGATATTGTTTGCCTCACCCACCAACAAGTTGCCTTCAATCATTCAAAGGTGGGAAAGTTACAGAGATATATTATTATGTTGTTATATAAAACATCGTGGAGGACGAAACAGTCTGCAGCCCCGTAATGAAGGGACCCGACTTGGGCAAAGCTACTTGGGTGTGAGTCAAACCAAGACGCAGAGAGCGCCATTGAGAACAGCGTCCCACCAAACAACCATCGCAGAGACGCTATGCTGCAGAACGCAACAAGCATCAATACGACTATCGTCGGGATTACACCATCCCAAGGTCCCCCATACATCCCAGCAGACATCACAACCCGCATACCTCCATCGACCAGAACCACAAGAGAGCGTCGAATCAGGCGCAGCACACTCGCAGATCCATCACAAGACGCAATGCCGCAAGTAGCAGTAAGCATCAATGCAACTATCATACGGGTGGCGCCCCCTCACAACACACCCACATGATCCCTATCGACTTTGCTAACAAAGTTTTTATCGTTGTTATATAAAAAATATCACCAACGTATCATAGTAGCACGCTACTAAGACGCCAATGAACAAAACTCCACGTATCATAGCGCTAATGCACTAAGACATGAAGTTGAGCATGCCTGTTACACTTAAAAGTGCTACCAAACACACTCATCATCCCAAACCGAAAGATAGACGACGCATCGCTATGCGCTACGACGTCGCCCACTAACGGTATGGGTGTGCGATGTCCACGGGAAATCCGTATTGCTACAACAAACCCGCTTAACACCGGCACTAAGATGATATGTCTGGGAAACATCGGTTAGCGAGTCCAAGTTTACCTCGGACCAATTGCTCGTGAAGCAGCATACACGCCACCATAATATTCCTTTTCAAGTCCCTAATAAGGACTATTCATTTTGCTACAGTACTAGGAGCAGTCGGTCACCCGACCACCCCATACAATGCTTATGCATCAAGGAGACCTTCAATAATAATACTTTTGTATCATAGACCTTACTTTCATAAGTCATTAATATATAGGGTTCGAACCCACGACCCCACTATTGTAATGCAAATTCATCATGGAGACCTTCTATAGTATTGCTTTTGTATCATTGAGTTTATTATCATAAGTCCCTAATATAGGACTAGTTATTGTGCTACAGTACTTCAGACAGTCGGGCTCCCGACCTCCCCATATATATATACAACTGCAGGTATGTATCTCCGGCAGCTCCTCCATACAAGAAATCTATACATGAACACCTTCCAAAACTTAGGAAAATTTTCTTTTATACATGAGAACCTTCCAAGACTTAGACCATTTTTAACAAATTTTCTAATTATCTTATAAATGATTATTTATCTTAATTTTTATAATATTTTCGACTTGTATTTCTATTATTTATCTTATTTTAAATATTTTTTATAGCATAGCATAGTTTATAATAAATTTATTTATTATGAAAGACAATAATTTTGCCTTTAATTTACTATGTTATTGGACTAATGTCTGAAATATATTAACTTTATGTTTATTAATGTAATTTTATTGCTTAATACATATATATATATATATATATATATATATATATATATATATATATATATATATATATATGAGGTCCCACATATATGCAATAAATGAAACCACAAGTAATACTAGTCCGTAGAAGTGTAGAAAAAATTAAATATTAAATTAAAATCCGTAAAGTAAGTGAAATTTTCAAACAAAATAAATATTAAAATAAATTCAGTAAAAGTGAACACTCTGTTTAGACAACGTACCTTGACCCCTTGGAAGAGTGACAACGTTGCACGCGGGTGGCATGGTCTAAGACTCGTTGTTCGAACGAGGGTGGAAAGTGACGCGGAGCAACTCCTTCATGAGTGTTGGGCACTATGCGCTGATTTTCCCTGATTCTTTGGAAAGCACCTAGGATTGTTCGGACGCTAGTAGGGCAGATGCGAGTTGCGCCGTATCTCTCACTATAAGTACGCAGAGTTAACGCTGAATTTTGGTGGCATTCGCCATACAATAAAACCATGTCTGTATACTCTGCCGCACTGTAAAAATGCTGTTGTCTTGGCATTTTCCGTCGCCAAAACGTATACACAAAAGTCAAGTAGTGTCAATATCACAGTGAAAAAATAATAAAAATAAACGTACTTAAAAACACTATTTACACACACAAAGTCAATTAACTAATAAGTGTCTATTTCACCGTAAAAGAATTGTTCGACTAATTGTATTTATCTTACGATAATACGATAATTATCTTACGATAAATAATTGCGATGCGTGTAGGCAGCGAAACACACCTGTATTCTGGGAGAATTGCGCGTGAACTCGAAGCCGAATTTCCAAATTCCAAAATGGCGAAAATAATAAAAGTAATAAATAGGGCGGCCACAAGGTGCAATTATCGTTTATCGATACTTTTCTTTTTACACTTACTTACCTACTACATTTAAATACAAGTAATTTTGATTTGATAACAATCGACAAGTTATTGATTGTTAAAAAAAAGTTTATTTTTGTATAAAAATAAACTTTTTTTTACATTAATTTTTTTTTACATAATTGTATAATTGAACTTACGAAACTACCGATTTGTAACTTCCTGGGAAACGGGTAAGTATGTATGACTTTTTAATTGGTTGTTTTTATGGGTTTTTTAGCATGTTAAAATAATTTATTATCTCTAAATCTACAAGAACACACTTAAACAAAAAAGCTTTAAAGTTTAGCTTTAAATACTTAGGTCGTAGTGTTTTTAGAATTATCATAACAACACGATTATTCTAAAAAAACCATACCCTAAGTGTTTAAAGCTAAACATTTTTTTTGTTTATCGATTATTACTCCCTTTGAAAGAAGCTAATCGTCGATAACTGGTGTCCTACTCTACGACAAAGGCGCGCGCGCACTTGCGCTGTCGCCTTTGAAGTACGCCGCGTGCCTCGTGCCGCTTGTTTATGGACGCCGACAAAAGACACCACTGTCAATATGTTGCAATACCAATAGCTTGCACTGCGTGGCAACGTCGCTTTTTAATGTTCAAGGATTCAAGTTCATTGAATCATTGACTTAGTGACCCAATTCTACAGAGAGTTCAAATTTGCTTAAAATTAAAACTCTACTTTTTGACCTAATTACTGGACCGATTACGTTAATTTTTTGTATATCGTCAGCAAAGGCGATAACAAGTATATGGTTTCATTTTTTGCATATATGTAGGATCCATTCGTTATATATATATATATATATATATATATATATATATATATATATATATATTAAGACTATTTTTGATGCCCCTTTATATTGAATTTAATTATCAACTTCATACAAAAAGTATAGTAAGATGTTTGACCGTGTCCCGGCCGGGATCAGCCGGAACCCGGCCCGTTCGCGACACGGTGTACCGTGAATCATCCATTTCTTCAATTGTTATTATCATGAATAACTTGTGGTCCTCTAAATTATACCAACAGAATAATGCTGCTATGTTTCAAATAGTGAGTATAGAGAACCGGAGACTAAATTACTAACCTGGGTGCAATACCTATATCATCGTAGTTTTCAGGGGTGACAACGCATCTGCATTTTATTCTTAATCGATTTTAGATTTGATATGGGCTATAGCATCTACTTACCATCAAGTGGACTATGTGCTTGTTTGTCATCCTTTATCTATAAAAAAAAGAAAAGTATCAAGATTGTACCAAATTGTTTAAGCAATATATTAAGCTTTTTTACGCGGTAGAGCTATGCTGCAGCTATATTGTGGTTGCAGCACGAATGGGTCGGCTCGACCGGGGTAGGACCACGCTCTCACAGAACACAAGCGTAAAATAGCAGCTTAATGCTGCTGTGTTTCACATGGTGAGTGTAGAGAACCGGAGACCCCTTTTACTGGGTACGAGGTATTCCATCTTAGTCTTTAGGGCTGACAAAGCATCTGTATTTTGATTCTTAATTGAAGATAAATATAGATATCTATGGGCCACGGCATCCACTTACCATCAGGTGAACTATGTGCTCGTGTGTCACCCTTATTCTATAAAAAAAGCATTTAGTATCACGAATTGATTTTAGTGATGACATATTAACTTACCGGTCTCGACGTTAACTTTCTTGTCACTGAGAACATCACTAGCGCGACTAGTTAGCAAATCTTTCATTGCAACTTCTTCTCTATCATATAAGTAATCTTCATTTCGCAGCACCGGCTTTTCATTCGGTATAAAAATAACATCCTCAGTAGCTTCCGGATATGTTTCTGTTGTGTCCGACACAAGAGGTTTGGTAAGTTTGGGTTCGAATTTGACCACTTCATTGCCCGCACCCGTTTCTGGTGTATCTTGCTTTGAAACCGACATAGGTTTAGCATTCTCAACTTCACTATGTCCTTCATACGTTATTATAACATCGGAAGTATTTGTTGATGTGTGAGACATGGCGCATATTGTTGATAAATAAGTCAAAAGTAACTTTAAATACATATCTACTTATAATGAAATATGTTTTAATAATTTGCTCCAATATTTATTACACAAAACCACACCTTTAGAAAACTATTATACAAAACCACACCTTTAGAAAACTACATTTAGAAAATACACCTTAGAAATTTTAAGAGTTTTTTTAGATATTTTGATTAGCACACTTTCTTCATGAACTGAGTATCGAATAGAACAATGAGTTTGTTGCCCAACACATTTATGAAACTATTCATTGATTTGTAACAATGGTGTTTACTTAATCGGCAGTTTTATATGTGGTAGAGCCACGCTGCAGTTATATTATGGTTGTAGCACAAATGGATCGGCTCGACCGGGGAAATACCACGCTCTCACAGAATACCAGCGTAAAATAGCAGCTGCTGTGTTTCGCATGGTGAGTGTAGAGAACCGAAGACCTTTTTTACTGGAAACGAGGCATGCCATCCTAGTACACAAGGATGACAACACATTTTGATTCTTAATCGAGGATAAGTAATTGTAGATGTCTAAGGACCACAGCATCCACTTACCATCAGGTGAGGTGGATTGCCGTTTGTCTCGTTTGTCATCTTATTCTATAAAATAAAACGGAGTGAAATGGTACAGGGTAAAAAAATATATATCGTAATAATATTACACATTTTATAAATGAAATATATACAATCATACGACCCTTTAGTAACAAGCACTCTCGTTTCTAGCTTGTGTCGAATCGTTGACTTTTCGACCTTCGACCTTCAGCGACGAATCGTCGAAACGTCGGGAATTAAAAATAATTAAAATTAAACGCCATAAAATCCGTAAAAGTTGTTTTAATCAATGTGTAGTGTTTGCGTAAATATAAGAAATCATTATGTGCATTTTGATTCTAAATCGATGATTGACGTATATGTCAGGGCCACAACATCCACTTATCATCAGGTGGTATATTATGTGCTCGTTTGTCACCCTTATTTTATAAAAACCTATGAAAACTTTCCCTTCCTTCCCATCATTATCGAGTGAATTAGTATTAAAGTGGGAGAATTTTAGATAAAATAATATTCGTCTAACATAGAAGTCTCGGCGCGGACTGTTCGGTGCGGCAGCGTGCGCTTTAACATTTCAATTTGTTAGAAATTAATAAAATAAAACTAGATCTGTTTAATTTCTTCTCAACATAACCTAAAAACAATTTGCCTTATCATACGATATAATATTTACACGACGTAATTATGGAATTCTTTTAATGTATCTTGAGCCGTGGTAGCTCGGATGGTTAACGCTCGCTGCAAATATAACAGAACGCAAGTAACCCGGGTTCGATCCCCCCGGCACCAACGAAATTGTTAATTTCAATGTTTAGTGCTGATTTACCACGTACTCGGCGGTGAAGGAAAACATTGTGAGGAAACCTGCATGTCTGAGGAATAAGGAAAAAATATTTCGAAGACATGTGAAGCTCGCCAACACGCATTGGGGCAGCGCGGCGGACACTTCCTTGCCCTAAAACGCTCTCAGAAATGAGGGGAGGCCTGTGCCCAGCAGTGGGACGTATATAGGTTGTAACTTTACTTAAATTTTTAACTTTTTAATGTATCTTTTTTTTTGCGGATGGAAAATCATCAAATGACGCCTTTCGCTCTGGGTGGAGCGTAAGGGAGTGTCAGACTTTTACTGACTAAAAACCAGCCGTGTTCCTTCAGTGCCCTTACGTTCCGGAGCCGCGGTATCTCTTTCGAACAGCCCGCAGCCCCGGCAGGCGTCGGCCCTTGCGGGCCCCTTCACGCTGCTGACAGCTCTTTGAGGCGCGCGTGGAACAAAACGCGCCGTCGACACGGCCTGTCGTCGTTAGACGGACGGACGGCGAGCTACCCATTGCTCGCCGTCCACAGGTCCGCGCCTACGGTGGCCGGGGGCCACGACGTAGCCCCCGACGCCCGGGGCGTCTCCCGCGACGGCCGGGGATGAAAGCTGCTGCTCTCTCCTTCTCCCGCTCCGCCACCTCCTTTGCTAGCATCACTGCTTCGCAGAAGGTGGTGACGGCATCCCATTCCGTCTCGCTTCGGACCATGGCTTCGACCAGGGCCGGACGCGAGAGGTCACCGCCGCCTATCGCCGCTACGAGGACACGGCGGTGCTCCGCCCAAGCAGGGCACACCTCCGCGGTGTGTTCCACCGTGTCCTCCGGTCCATCCTCGCAGTGGGAGCACCCGGGCGTTTCCTCCCGCCCAATTCGGTGCAGGAACCTCCCGAACACACCGTGTCCGGTGAGGACCTGCGTCAGGCGGAAGGTGAAGATGCCGTGGCATCTCTCAAGCCACTCCTCAAAGAGGGGTCTTATCGCCGCTATAGTGGCGTGCCCAGCACGGGGTTGCGACAGTCGCTCTTTTTAATGTATCTTGCGTGTAAGTAGCGATTTAGTGTTTGGAGTCATCTTTATGATGTTTTATCGACATAATTGCTATAATGATTCGCGCTTCCGTTTGTCTTATTGATCTATTGTGATCCGAGCTTCTGTCAACTCTTATTGTGTAATTACCTTATAGTAGAATTAAAGAGACTAAAAAAGTTAAGTACGAATATAAGTTAATACAAATCCTCCCTTCAACAGGAGAGGACGACGTCATGGCGTTGAATCTTTAACATGTTAACGATCATGGTAATGATGATAGAAAGGAGAAAAGTACAGTTAATTTTCGCGCCTTTACATATCGATTTTATATTTTTACTAAAATATGTTAAAAATAATTCAAATGTTACTACTGTCTATTTTCCTTTAAATAATTAAGGTCGCAAACGAGACAAGTGATGATAAGCGGATACTGTGGCCCATAGATACCTATATTTACCATTAGTTAAGTATCATTTATTGATTAGATGCAATTTCATTCCTGAGAGCTAACATAGAAACGGTCTAAGACACAAACGTGCTTCGTTTCCAGTAAAAAGGGTCTTCGGTTCACTACACTCGTCATACGAAACACAGTAGTATAAAGCTCCTAAATTACGCTGGTATAATGTGCGAACTGCCTGGTACGTCGTATACATATACCACGTGACCACATCTGCCAAGGTGGTGATGACCGCAAATACTTCCTGCAATATTTAACGTCCACCCCCCTTCCAATTGTTAAGGACTTTAGTAGAAGGCGGTAAGTCAACTTATAAAGAATGACGTACGTTGTTTATTAAAAAGTTCTCCCCACCTTAATTCATTTCACTTCGATTATTGGGGTGGGGTGTGAGGTAACGTTCTCATACCTTCATTGCCTTCGTACTGTACTACAATTCTGACAGTGTCAAGTTAGTCAGTCTGATACACAAGAATCTCTTGTCTGTAAAAATATCTTGCGTCTTCCATGATTGAGAATTTTTCTTTGTCATTGAGCTTCTCTATTAATTATTTACAATTTCGTAAGAATTGGCAATAGTAATACAATCAGTGGTCGCGTTTGATGTAGTCGGAAAAGCCGATATAAACCATAAATTGCTAGAATTTTGTCATAATGCGAAGTAATAAAATATAAAAAAAACTGATTTTATTTTATTTTACGTTTAAACAAAAAAATTACTTAATCAGACAGTTAGTGTTCAGAAATAATAAAAATAGATTATAGGACCAACAGTTTTCACCACACATGCAGGGTGATTTTAATTTAATTGCGTGACAGAACAACCCAGCGGACAGCACCCGAGCGAATAACGGCCGTTCGGGAGCGCTACGCCTACGCGTCGTGTCCCGCACCGCACCGCACGATTCGACAGTCTAGACGCCTTTGATGATCGACTGCTAGTAGTAGTTGGACTGTGATAATACCCTATAACATTACACTCAGAAAGTCTTTTCAGGCTAATGTTAGGAGTTTGTTTAGGTTTGTATCCCCGTTTGTACCCGTTACCTGTTTTCGGCAAGTAACAACGCACCTACGAATGTAAACTGTATTCCAGATATTAGGGTAAGCCAGTAAGTACATAAAATTAAGCATATAGGCATTTCCTCACAGCTATCATAGATGACAATACATATTTGTCTTTATATCCAGAACTGGTCAATGTTCATAACATTACCAATCAATACTCATCACCATCATTACTGGCCTTTACAAGTTTAAAACTGAACACTTGCCTCCCCTAAGGAATGCCACACAGCATGGTCCTGAGCCACCTGCATTCATCGAATTACTCGTGACTTACTAGTTGTTTATTCGATCTAGTGAATGCTCTATAGTTGATGACATATCGATCTGAGACATGGCGTGAACTGCTGGCCGTACGAGGAAATTTAAAGTCGCTCAGCGAGCCATCCTGAAGGCTATACTCGAAGTTTTTCGTTGTGACAGAATTCGTAATGAGAATATCCGTTGGGTTGTTTAACATAGAACTAGGGTAAACAGCATAGTCGAACAGATCAGTAAGCTGAAATGGCTCCATAACTCGAAAAACTGACAACCGATGTAGAAGAAATATTCTCCTTTGGTGCGCCCTCCTTCTGCAAAAACACAAATACAATTTATTATACTAGGGAAAAACCCATTCTCTCGATTATTCTGTTTAGTCCCCCAAGGTTTTATATTAAGTCTTTTACTATTTATCTTATATAAGACAAACATCTATACAAAAAGAATAAATACTAAATGTTTCATGCGTACTCGTGAATAATATATTATTCATGGGAAGTACCGTAACCGTTTTAACCGAATAGCGGACGACGCTCCCCTTTATAACGAGAGCAGGCATGTGCCCTGCAGCGAAATATAGATGTAATGTTATTGTTAAATTATAATACCCTGTCGTCGACCAAATTAAGCTTTTCCATTGTATTGGAAAATAAAAAATTAGATACAAAATAACATAACATAAACAATCTACTCTAAATGGTATATAACATGACATGAACTATTAGTTATGTACATAGCACAAATTGTTCGGCTCGACTGAGGTAGGACCACGCTCTCACAGAATACCAGCGTATAATAGCAGCTTTATTCTACAGTGTTTCGTGTGGTTAGTGTAGAGAA